TCTTCATCCCTGCCTTGCTCCTCTTTAATCGGGTGTCACGAAACCGCAGTGAATTAGCCTAGTTCTGTGCTTGATTAGCATGCTGCTTTGGATAAGCTCGCCTTTTCGTCATCTTTTCTTCTCCCAAAACCCATAAGAGGCACAGRGGTCTGCGCTGTTCCTTAAAGCCAAGGCCCAAACTCACAAAGACATGTAGGAGCCTAATGCCCGTGACAATAGGACCTGTTCTTCTATATCTGTACCTACATCTCTCTCTCTTTATATATACACACAGTCTTTTGCTGCACAGCTGACTGTGGCAGTTCTCAYTCCTTTGAAAACTGCCCTCTTCACCCCCACCAGATTAAACTGCAACGGGAGAACCYGTTTGATCCCTGCACATTGGGGACTTTTGCCCTCTGGGCAGGGACGGCCAAGGCCACTTTAGCCCCTGATCCCCATAAGCAAGAGGCCATCTCCAGCAGCAGATCCTGCCAAATGCCATCCCAGCCCAGGAGCTTTCCCAGCAAACCCATAAATTACCCCTCAAACCGTGCCCGTTCCCCAGCCTCGTTCCCTTCTGCATTGTTAGCTCGCACCTCTTGCTCTGTTTCCTCATTAACTAGCAGTGACTCGGAACAAAACCCCCATAACTCATATTCCAAAAGTCATCCGCCCATACACCCATTCATTTGCCATTCCCAGTTAAGTTCATGAAAGATTAATTCCTTGATGATTATGATTTGTAATGTTAATTCATTAGCCTCTTTCCCATTAAGCGTTCGGAGGTTTGCAGCATTACATTGATCTCTTACTCACCCTGTGGTGAGCATGAAAAAAAAATGTGAGAAACCTTCTTTACTCTTCCTGTCCCTTGGGCAAATTATCTGCCTGGTCTTCCAGCTCAGCTCCCAGCTCGGCTTTAGTTCTCTAAATAATTTAAACACGTTTAAATGCCTCGGACTCCAAGAATAGCCTCCTGCCTTCTTGTCCCCCATGCCTGTTCTCCACAGCTTACTGAAGGTCCCCAGAAATCGCTGTCCCCGCACGCATCTCTGCTCARGAAGAGGCAGCACGGGAGAAACGACCCTGGAAAATGACAATAAAGCGGATTTGAGGCTGCGCTGGAGCGGCTCTGGTGAGCAACATCACCACCGCATGGACGAGGAGGACTCTGCAGAGCCCCCGGCCAGGGCGGTGAGAGCAAAAACAGTCGTGCTCCCATGGGTCGCCTCCTCCCGCTATCCCCACCAAATACACCCCCAGATTTGGGGGACACCAAAAACCCCAAGGTTTTTCCATCCCRCGGGAGGGCGGCCTTTGTTGCTGGAGGAAAAGCGGAGGGCATAGGGAAATGTTTGGAGTGCTACGGAGAGGAGCTCTCTGTCTGTAGGATGCAAGAGGAAGGGCAGCTTGGAGAGGAAGACCCAGCTGAGAGCTTCAGCTTCACCCTGGGGCGCTCCTGCCTTTCAGAGCCCTTCCATGTGGCAAAACCACCTAAAATCAGTGCCCTCARTGAACCTGGACTTTGAGTTTTGGAAATTGCAATTGGGGGAAGCTCTTACAGCCCATCTTGGAAGCCCTCTGGTAACTGTCAACTTCCTGGCCTCAAATACTTGCTAGTTTTATATGGAATTTATGGAAGAAAATGTGTATATTCTAATAGACTCCCTCACACACACACATCAAAGGTGAGGTTTTGCCGTGGAGCTCTGTGGATTCGCTGTTCATGCTGACTCTGTGTGTGCTGGGGAGGTCGTGATACTCAGGCCCACTCACCCCCCCCCTGTCCTTATGGGAGCGGAGGGATGTCAGATTCTGTCCATGCAGCCTATGGGTGGAGAAACGGGAGCATCGGGATGTGTAACTGTAGYGAGGGATGCACTTGCCGGGAACTGGCTGAGCCCCAGGGCGCCTCTAGCACGGGCTGCAGATGGGGTCGGGGCACGGGCCCCTCTTGGGAAGCGCTGGCTCTGGGGAAGCTGCATTCAAAATAAATTAATAAGTATATAGTTAAAAATACATATATAAATWCATGCATACATACAAATACATGACCGTAAATTCTCCATAAGTGATTTATTTGGCCCGTGTCTCTGTGTATCTCTCCACTCACGTTCGTGCGCGGCCCGGCGCCGCCCCCGCCGGTGCCTCCCMCCGCGGCGGCCGGTTCGGCCGTTCGGGCCGTTGCCCCCCCCGCCCCGCGCCGCCGGTGCCCTGTGTCCCCGCCCCGGCGGCCGTTGGAGCGTTCGGGCCGTTCGGGATGGCGATGGCCATGGCGCTGCCGGTGCTGGTGCTGCTGCCGGCGCTGCTCGCGGGTACCGGGGCTCGGGGGGCTGGCGGGGGGCTGGCGGGGAAAGGAGCGGGGTGCTGAGCGCRCTGTTGTCCGCAGGGCTCCTGTCGCCGCCGTCGGCCGCGGCCAGCGTGGCGGTGAGTGCGGCCCCGTGTCCCCAAGCGCGGGGCCGTGGCGCGGCCATGTGCGGGGCCGCGACGCAGGGTGCCCCGCTGTGCATGACGGGCGCGCGCCCCGCAGCCCGCCTGCGASAGCTACGGCATCCCGGGCTGCCCCCGCAACTTCAACCCCGTGTGYGGCACCGACGGCGAGACCTACTCCAACGAGTGCGTGCTCTGCCAGTCCAACAGGTAACGAACGGTCCCCACGCAGGCGCCGCCGCGGTCCCGCGCCGCCCTCGCACAGCTCCGCRCGTTCCCGGCGGTGCCGCTCGCTGCGGGTTCCTTGTGCTGGGATCCGCTGGCCTGGACCTGCGTTCATGGGGACAAGCGCCAAGTGTTGTGTAAACCTTTCCCTTGCTTCACCTTTCCCAATGCTTAACTGGCGGCATTATGTTTTATTGCGCTTTGGAGTGTTTTCAGGAGCAGGTTGGGGCTGGTGTAAGCGTGCTTGATCCTTCCTCCGGACACAACGGTAGGCTTTAAGATCCAGCCTTACCCTCCCAGGATGTGTTTATTTTCCAGGCTGCATCCCTGCATTTCCAATGGGAGTGTGCAGGCGCACAGCATGGAGGGATCTGCAGGGGAAGCCCTGCTGTTTCTCACCGCGTTTCCTTGACTGGTCCATGATGTGGTTTATGTCCTACGCTAAATGGGCTTTGCTCTGAAGCGTTTGATTTGGCACAGACACAACAAGGATGGAGCGCTTTCCCATAGGGAGTATTTCAGTTTCCGATAGCTCCGCTCATAAGTGATGCCGGTTCGTCACGCTCCATGGGAAGGAAGAACACGGAGAGCGTCCTGCCCCACTTCATGAGCYGCAAGCTCCATAATTACGGGGATATTTAGTGGCACCTGCTGGCTTAGAGGCACATCRGCAGCTGCATCCCACAGGGACTTGCTCTGAATTAACCTGGGTGCCAGGAGATGCATGCATGTGCCCAGCACAAGCCCTGACCTTGCCTTTCAACCTCCCTCATTTGCTCCTTCGGGTAAAAAATAGGGCTCTGAAACAACTGCTGGGACAGCTCCCTGCTTTGGGGCAATCACAATGAATTTAGTGAGAAGTGAAAAAGCGGACCGAGTTTGTGCTGGAAATGTCATGGCTCTAACACCACACATGCAGAGTGTCTGTTACACAGGAGTGCCCCCCTTCCGAAACGTTTTTCTGTTCTGTCTTGCAGTGAAAATAATAAGGACGTCCAAATCTTCAAGAGGGGGAGTTGCTGATACAACAGATGGAGGCTTGAGAAAATGGGAGGGGAAAACAAGACAATCCAAAGGGAAACAATGCCTTAAATTTACCTTCTTAGCATAGCTGGTTTTAATAAATCCGTTGATTTGTTTAAGCACACCTGAGAGCTGTTTATGTGGTGGAGGGAGGCTGCCTGTAAGCACRGCTGCCGCGCACCTGCAACGTGAATGGCGTGTGCTCCCTGCAGCGGGACGGAGCCCGGGGAAGGGAGAAGGGGCGCTGGAGCAGGGCGCGCTTCCCCGCCTGTGCCTCGGAACGGCTGCGTTGGACCCTTGGAAGAGGTGGGGAAGGGTGTGTGTATGTGGGGGGGTCCCCTCTCCCCGTAACGGCTGTTCTGGGCCGTTGAGGGTGGGGGGAAGGAGCCCCCCCCCCATAACGGCTGTGCTGGACCGTTGAGGGTGGGGGCGTTCTCCCCGTAACGGCTGTTCTGGACCGTTGAGGGGAAGGTGGAAGGAAGAGCGCGCGCCCCCCCCGCCTTGTAACGGCTGTTCTGGACCGTTGAGGGGAAGGGTGGAGGAGGCGCCCCCCCCCCGTAACGGCTGTTCTGGACCGTTGGGGGAGATGGGGGAAGAGGCGCCCCTCACCCCGGTAACGGCTGTTCTCGACCGTTGAGGGCGGGGGTGGGGGGAGTGCGCTGCTTCTAACTGTTGTTGTGGACCGTTGAGGGGAATGGGGGGAGAGTTCCCCCCCCGCCCCGACCACCACCCCATAACGGCTGTTCTCGACCGTTGAGGGCGGGGCGGGGGGGTTGCTCTCCCCGTAACGGTTGTTCTGGACCGTTGTGGGGAATGGGGGGAAGAGGCGCCCCCCGCCATAACGGCTGTTTGGGACTGTCGAGGCAGCTGGGCTGGAAAGGGGGGGGGGCTGCCCCCCGTAACGGCTGTTCTGGACCGTTGAGGGAGCTGTGGGGAAGAGGCGCCCCCACCCGTAACGGCTGTTCTGGACCGTTGGGAGAGCAGGGGTCTCCCGTTTGGGCAAAGCGATTATCTGTTTGATTCGCAGCCTTTTTGAAGGGACTTGTCCAACCTCCTCCTCCTCCTCTAGCCCCTGGCTGTTCCCCATTCCTCACATCCGTGGAGCTAAGGACCGTTGCTTGACATGGGGGAGCGCCACTGGAGGATCGGGAATCTGGGACTGAGTGATCATGGGGAAACAACAGCACATGGAGGGCAAGGGGAAATGCTGATCATCTCTCCGTCGCCCCGACAAAAAAAAAAAAGGAAATCAACTTTCTCCTTCAGTCAGATCCATTTCTGAAAGTTTCTGGGCAAACCCAGCTCTTATTTCCACCTCCAGGTTTGGAAATTCTCTCTTCTTCAGTTGCACTGAACGCCAGTGCAGTTATTTGTGTGGCTGTCATATGAAGTAAGGTATGAATAGAAAAACTATTTTTTGTTATTTTTTGCGGTTTGTGCTTAAAAGGCAGCTTTAACAAGTGCAGTCTCACTAGTTCCCAAAATGCCCCTTTGGTATTTGAAGAAAGTGGGCACACACTGTGATTTCTGCAAAACTTGTAAAAAAAATTGTCTGCTTCCCCCAGGAAACTGAATTACTGCACATAATGTGTCCATTAAGCACCACTAAAGAAAAGAAATCCAACCCCAAAACAGCACAGAGGCCGATGTTTCGAAGAGGGGGAGGAAGGCATCTCATAAAAGTGTGTAAAAATGTTTTTTCCACCTTGTCTGTTCTAGGTTTGCTGTTACTTTTGCATGGACGTGGAAGGGAAGAGGGGAATCCAATGCAGACAAAAGCTTTTTTTTTCTTTTGTGTGCAGGCAAACTTTTTACATTGCTCTTCCCACTGTAATAATCGCACCGAATGATTGAAAGCAGAGGCTGTGGAGAATCTCCTTATTTTTGAAAATTTCCTTTTAATCAGCCTTCTCCTTTGATGTATCCTCCAATCGTGACCCAGGCAACCTTGTGGTGAGAGAAACTGTTTCTGAATTAGCAGAAAGGGTGRAACAGCTCTGAAATTGGGCTGCAATGACCCAACTTGCCTTTGCTCCTTGATGTTTTTAATTATCAATTTTAATTATTAAGGCTAATAATTGCCAAGGACAGGACTTCTCTGTGGCATTTTGTGACAACATCGGATTTCTGTCTGTCCCTTTGCTGGCAGTGTTCAGTGACCCTCGTGTTGCCCACAGCAGTGATGACCCAGTTAAGGTCAGTAACATRGAAAGGTGTCGTTGCCATCATCGTTACCCTCATCATCACCACCTGTAGACTTCAGCAGCCCTTCTAACAAGCAATTCCTCTTAGCCTAAACCTAAATAAAAGGACACTTTCCACAGTGACTCCATTTTTCCCTTAAGGAAAAACTCCCCTCTTTGAAGAGCTTTCCTGTCTACTGGGGAGAAATTATGTAAGATTCCGGTACACCTGTTTTATATTCCCTGGAGATCTGAATAATTTTTCTGGACATTATGTTTAAAGGCCTTTAGAGGGCAGCCAAGAGGGCGGAACTGAGCTGCTGAATGTACCTGGCAATCACCTAGTGTTGTTGTGGGCTCCGTGGGGCGTCGCATCCAGCCTCCAGCTGCCGTTCTGCAAGCACCTGGGTCTCCTGGAATCGAACTTTGCTCGTCTATAGATGGTCTTACCAGCTGAAAGRCTGGAAAACACTCACGTCAGAGTGAAGTAGAAGCAAGTAAGCCAGCTGTCCAGGCTACTGAAGGTGAAGATTTCCTGCCTCTATTCTGTTTTTGCCGAATATTGTATTTCTGCTCCTGCCACACCAGGTAATTTGGGCTGCTTATGGTGTCTGAGGCAATCAATCATGGTGCTGTATTATCTGGCGGGGGTGGTGGTGGGGGGGAAGCATGGAGAAAACAGGCAACCTCTCTGCAGGGGAGGGAAAAGCTCTTTCAAACCACTTGAGGATACTGGTGAAGAAGTGCTGAAGAAGGGGGAAATGCTGCTCCCGAGACACCCCCTGCTCGCGCCCATGTGCGGTTCCTTCCCGCCAGCTCCTGCCATTTCCCCCCAGCTCGCGAGTCATTTGCCCCAGAGTGATGCCGGATCCCGAGGCCAGCAGAACTGCTCATAACCCTCTGCTKCTTTCCTTTCAGGACTCTTCATTCGTGCCTCTTCCCAGTCCAAGCCCGCAGATCCAGAAGACAGAGGCAGCTGCTGTCAGCACCTTGGCTAACTTGGTGAGCTCCCTCTTAAACCAGCTGCAGCAGGAAGAAAGGCAGAGGCGTCCCCTGGTGTTATGTGTGAGCTCAAAAGCTTCCAGAAGGACATCTGCTTTTTGTGAGTGACTTAGGGCTGTGAGCTTTCCCAGCGCCTGGACTTGTCACCCGCTGCTCTGCAYGGCTCTGCCTTTCTGTGGTGAGGTAAGGCAGACCTTTTATTGTGGTGCTGCTCCCTGGGACACCTCTGGGCAGAACCCAGAAGAAAGTGTCACTGCAGGGACCTTTGTGCAGTGTTCCTGGGGCTTGCCTTTCCCCATCTTTTTGGAGTCACTTCCCTGTGCCAATGCCAGGGATACTACTGCATATGGAGCATCACAAGGTGGGTACTGGCAGCCCCAGCCACAGAGAGGTGTCCTGCAGCCCCCTCGCAAAACACAGCACCCTGGAGATGGGGAAGAGCCTAGCAGGGCATGGAGGGAGATGAGGGGTGGCACAAAAAGCCAGGCAAGGCTCCATGTCACCAAAGGAGTGTCTGTCATGTGGCACCACCACTGCCTGTTCCCGCGCGTGTTCCCCAGCACGTGTCCCGGCTCTGCTCAGGTGGCCCTTCAGGAGAGTGCGTGGCGGCGTGGCAGGGCAAGGCCCRGCCCTGCAGTTCAGTGTCGCACACGACCATGCAGCTGGGCTCGCCTCYGAGGACACGCTGCTCCAGTGCCTTTTGCTCCGGATCACAGCGGGACAACACTCCCCCCTTGGCCTGAATGCAGCTCTTTGGCTCAGGATTTCCAAGACCTGCCTGCTTTGGCCTGGAGAATCTGGCTAGGACTGAGTTCAGCAGATATTTTCCAGTCTCCCCGCTGCCTGACTTGCTCTGTAAAAAATGCACGACCGTCTGAACCTTTGGATTTGGGGAGTTTTGGCAGGTGCTCGCCCTCTCCCTGCCATCTGAGGAGCAGAGAGCAGATGTGTCCGTCCCCTCTCCCACTGTCACGCTGTGCAGAACTGCAGTTTCACTGGGCAGGGCAGGGCGGGCAGCTCCCGCATGTCTGGCTTGCCGTGCGCGCTGGGGCATGCTCTGCCCACGTGCTGCTGAGGGCTCTCCTGGTGAGGAGCTCTTCTCTGCTGCTGGAGTCACCTCAAAACAATTCGGCTGCAGGAGGAGGGAGGAGGGCTCTACCCCAGGCAGGGATTGCGAATGGAAATACCAATGAGATGACACTGTTGGCAGAGAAGCACTGGCAGAGCAAGAAAATGCCGCAGTTTCCATCCACATGGCTGTGGCCTAGGGAGAGCAAAAAGGTGGGAATGGCTTTGGAAGCTGCAAGTGACTTGTCTCTCCGTGGCCCCGGCCAGTCTTGCCACTGAGGAAGGACAAGCTGAGCCCTGCACGCCAAAGCCAGGCGAAACCCCATCAAGCCGCAGTGTTGAGCTGCAGCYGGGGCCACCGCAAAGTGGCCTCTATCCGTACGCAGCCATTCCTGGGTGCTCTCACCCACTGCTGCTACTTGGCCAGCCTCGTGCTGGAAAAATAGTGATTCTTGCGAGTGAGTGGAAATCTCGCCTGCCTGACTGCAGGAATGGTCCTGTTAGTGCTGGTCTGCTAGGAAGCTCTTCTGGAACTGAATGGCAGCCAAAAATACCAGCACTGCTGTGTTGTCAGCCACGTTTCTGAGGTTAGTAACAGGGAAAGAAAAGGGAAAAAGGGGGAAGGAAAAAGGCAGAAAACCAATGGAAGACAAAGCAGAAGATGGCATTGGTTTGTTCAGAGGATAAGGGGAGGTTTTGCTGTCTTTGGGACTGATTTTCTTGCAAGAAGGTTAATTCCTGAGAAACACTATATATATGTGTGTGTGTGTGTGTCTGTGTATTTTTTTTTTTTTTTCAGTTAGGAAAAGGAGAAAAACTGCTGAGAGGCTGGATGGAAGATGCTGGGAGGACTCCAGGAGAGCSCCAGATGTGCCCTGTGTTCTGCTTCTATCTAATGCAACTCACTCTCCCAAGGGATGCAGCCTGGGGCCAGGACCTCATCCACCAGGTGCAGTGTGATCTCCAGCAGCACAGGAACCTGCTCCCAGGAGCAGGGGCAGGACCTGGAGGATTTCAGGATTCAGGAAGCAGTGGATGGAGCACAGGAGGGCTCATGGCACTGCAGGAGCCACTCGGGTGACGTGTCCTGTCCTGAAGTGCGGCACTGCCGGCTCTCCCAGCATGAATCCAGGCTGGGCTCCGAGGCAAAAGGTCCTGCCCACATTAAAGATTTTCCTTCTGCTGCTGGTAACAAACAAGGCAAAGAAGGAAGTGACCCTCTTCCTGATACCTAGGTTACCTCTGCTTGCAGAGCTTGGCGCACGGACGGGCTGGAAAATAACCCTCACCAGAGCCCTGCTGAATTTGCCTGCCTTTCAGCACTGGTCGCTCTGCAGCCCCCTTGTCCTGGCCGCCTCTGCCATGATGCTGCATCACCCTCCCATGCTCGGGGGACTCTCAGTTACTGGACACCCAGCAGATTTGCTGGCATCTCTCCCATGGGGCAGCCTCATCCTGCCCCAGGGGCCCACCAGCTCCTCAGCTTCTCGTGTGCAATGCCAGCTTTCCTGGTGCTCCGACAGATGAGCCACTGCCACCGGGCACTCGGCTTCTGTGGGTCCCTTTCTCCCGTCACTCTAATATCTTCCCGCATCCTGCAAGCTCATGGAGAACCAGCTGCCCCTCAAAAAGAGGCCTCTGCTTAAGCTGCTCTCTAGTGCATCCAGCTCCGAMCATGGGGCTCACAGCGCGCACACTCCAAAACCCCAGCAAATCCCCTTCCCAGCACAAGAGGAGATAAGAAACCCGCCCCCGTGACTGCAGCTTGGCTGCCTGGCTCCGCCACCGGGACAGCAGCGACAAGCCCTGACGGCTCCCGGTGCCACCGAGAGCCGGGTGCGGAGCCCTGCCAGGCGCGGGGGCCAAACCTGAATTTCCAGCCCGGAGAGCRGCTGGCGGGCCCGGGAGCTGCGGCGATTGGCGGCAGGTTTTTCAGGTCCCGGCCCGCACGCGCGCGCCCCGCCGGTACTTAAGCCGCTGCCGAGGACCTGTGGGGACGTTGTTTTGCACGCTGCCTGCTTCCAGGTGAGTGCCAGCTCCAAGCCGGCGGTGCTGGGGTGCATGGCGGGACCGTGGGGCTGTGGCAGTGGTGGGAGAGCCCTGTGCCGGTGCAGGAGGGGACCGGCAGAAGCCACTGCTGCGATCGCAGCTGCGAGGCTGAGTGTGGCATCTGCAGGACGCACCACAGGTGGCTGTGGCTCTGCTGCTTCACGGTCCTGTTTGTTTTGAGAGCCTCCGTCCCAGCTTATCCAGTGCAGCGGTCCCAGCTGGTGTCATCTGCAGCAAGAGGACAGCAGAGCTGGGGACAGCAGGAGCACAGAAGGCAGCCAGGCCCCTTTGCAGAGCAGCCCCCCCACTTGCTGCTTGCAGCAGGGCGGTGGCAGGAAATAGCTACAAGTGGCAGGTCCCCACCACYGCCACCGTCCCGGGCCTCCCTGCGGAGCAGGGTGCGACCACAGGAGCAGGGCAGCCACGGGAAGCGGCTGCCGCTCCACCCTGTCACTGCAGCCCCCTTCAAGCCTTGGTCCCTCTCCTGGCACCCGGAGGTAAGGTGTCCTCGCCGCCCCAGCCCCTCCGCCTGCGCCGGGCGCCCCTTGCTGCGAGGAGTTTGGTTCCCTGTGTGCGGTATGGATTGCGCAGCTTTTGGAGGCTGCCTTTGGGCTGCTCGACCAGGGAGGTGCCTCTAGCAGCTCTCGGGCCGCGTGGATGGGGAGCAGCAAGGCCAGCAGCAGTGGAGCGCGCGTCTGCCATGCTGGGGCTTTGCTGCCGCGGTGCCTGTGGAGCTGTCAGCACCGTCCCAGCGAGACACTTCCGTCCAACGGTGCTGCTGAGGGTGGGCACGGGGCTGCTTGCCAGCCAGCCTGGACAGATGTCACAGCCCTCTGGTTTCTCTGCAAACCCAACGGACAGTTAATACCTTTTACATGGAAAACAACAACAGTCTTCCAAAGTTTTCCCATGGTTTTGCTGGACTGAAAGAAGCATAGGCAAGAAAATCACCCCTGCCAGAAGGGCAAAAGGTCCTGCAGAGCCCAGTGGCCAGGCCTGGCCCGGGGTTCAGCAGAGCTGCAGAGTGATGAGAAGGGAGTAAGGAGAAAACACTGGGAATCACAGGCCGGGCACCACGTGCTGCCAGTGGGTAGGGAATTGTGCACCCTGCAGGGAATCCCCTCAGGCAGCAGAGAGATTGTCAGGAAGAGCAACAGCCCCACACACGAAACTGGAGTCGCGTGTTTCCTATGCAGATGCACACAGAGCCGTTAGCACAGCGTGGGCTGCGGGGCTGGGAGTGCACAGCCCGCGGCCACGTCCTGCCCGAGGACTGGGGGTGRCTTCGCCCCAGTGCAGTGGGGTCCGTGCGGCCGCTAGCAACACTCTGGCCTTATGCAACGGCTGTTACAGGCAGCGTTCAAGTGACTCAAGCAGACAAGGCCGTTTCACAACCACTGCTTGTCTATTTATAAGTCCCCGCTACACTGCAAGAGGCTCCACTGCTTTTGGGAGCAAAGGAGAAGGTGTCCGCAGCCCGCGCGGACTCCCTGCAGCGCGCCTTGGGAGCTGAGCCCTTCCCAGGGCTGCTGCTGGCGGTGAGAGCCCAGGGTGTGGAGTGCACACCAGGTGAGTCAGTCGCATGTGCAGGGGATGCCAGGATGGAGGCTGCTGCCTCGCACCGTCCCACAGAGGCTGAGGAAATGTCAAGGTGGTTCAATGTGCAAGTCCAGCTGGGCACTGTGCACTTTTTYTGAGGGCAACCGTCTCCTTTTGGCCAACCAAGCAGGCTGGCGCAAAACTCGGAGGGCTGCGGAACAAGGGTGCAGGATCACCCAAGGCAAGACATCCTTCCATGTGCTTTGGGGCCCAACCCGCCAGAGCGCAGGGGACGCCCGGGCCTTGGGGCAGCAGCCTGGGGCACATAGGACACGACYGAGGCGTTCCCTGGGAGAGGGGCCAAAGCCTGCGCTGGCTCTGAGACCAGCGGCTCCTGCCTCCCGRGGCTGGCAAGGCGCCTGTGGAGAGCAGGGAGGAGGAAGAGCAAAAGCGCYGCGCTGCCTTCCCCAGGCTGCCTGCCAGACCCTGCACCCTGCCCCAGAGAATGAGCAACACGCCTCGCTCCCCGGCCCCCCCGGCGCCCGCGTGCCCGCTGCTCTGACATCACCCCCAAGTGCCGCCCAGGCCTAAATAGGGCTGTCGGCAGCAATGGTCGCAGCGGGAGTCACGCCGGCTATAAATACAGCAGCAGCAGGGGCCGAGCCAGCCCCGGCTGCCTTTCCTGCCGGTTGGAGATGGTGAGACGGGCCGGGCGGCCGCTGCCATGGGAAAGCGAGGCAGGGGCCAGGGCGCTGCAGGCTGCCCCGGGATGGGGCTGTGCCGTGCCCCGCAGCATGGGGCCATGAGCAGCAGCGCCTGCCTCTTGCCCTGCAGCCCTGCCCAGGAGGAGATGGCCACGGAGCAGCCCGCGGAGCCCACTGAGGAGCAGTTGGAGATCCTGGAGCACAACTTCTGCAAGGTGGACAAGCACCCCGATGCCACCACACTGTGCCTCATCGCAGCCGAGACGGGGCTCTCCGAGGAGCAGACCCGGGTGAGTGCCGGCCCCACGGCCCAGCCCCACGTGCCCCTGCCTCGCTCCCCCGCAGCTCCCTCTGCCCTACATGCTCCCCCACCCCTGACGCAGGTCCCGTGGTTTCGGGTGTCCCTGGGCTTCTCCCAGGACCCCATTTTCAGGTGGCTCCACACTTGGACTTCCAAGCCAAGCGGTTCCTTCCCAGCCCTTCAGGTTGCCCACCTGTGATGCAGGTTGTTTAGACAGTTTATATTGAATATGCACTCAACTCGGAGCGGTGTCGGGGAGGGGAAAAGAAAAATAGCCCACAAGAGAAGCGCTTTGCAAAGGACTCCCAGCCCAGCTCAGCAAGCAGGGTAGGGGCCAAGCACGCCTTAGCACCACCAAGTCCACCAGCACTGGCAGCACCCACCCTGGGGATGTGCTGGAGTTTCCTCCTCAGACGGAGCCCTGGGCCTTTTTCCTTGAAGTGAGGACTAGGCACCAGCTCTGCGCGGGTCTCTCAAGATGCCTGCCCTGAGAGCCACGTATTTCCTGGAGCATGCGAGGTGCCCCCAGAGATTCGGAGATGCAGGTCATGTTGTGGGAGGCAAGCAGAGCTGGATGCTGGCCTGCAAGGTGCCTCCTTTTAAAGCTTTTTGTCCTTAAATCTTCCAAGATTTAGTCACTGTTTTGCCTCTTGTCATATCCGAGGCACGCTCGCAGTCAGGCACATTTGGCTTCACTGCTCTGGGCATTTGAACATACCCCATCCACGCTGCCCTGTTCTAAGAAAAGCTTCATGCTCAGCACTAGAACAGGGCCCTGCCCCACCTGCCAAGGTACAGACTGAACACGACAAGTCAGTTTGGAAGAGGATTTTGGCCCAAAGACTGTCCAGGCCAGAGGTGCTGCCCGGGAGCACCGCGGCAGCTGGCAGGTGGGGCAGCCTGCCCAGCCCTGCGCCCTCAGCGTCTCTTTCTCCTTTGTGTTCCTCCAGAAATGGTTCAAGCAGCGCCTGTCCGAGTGGCGGAAGTCTGAGGGGCTGCCCTCGGAGAGTGGGTCCGTCAGGGACTAGGGGAGCTGCCCATCCCCGTGCCCACCGACAGCCCTGGGGACCCTGCACAGTGCCACCGTTGCCCTGTTGCCGCAGATTCTGCCATGCAAGCCAACACCCCGCTATGTAATATAACCTTTATTTAATGTGTACATAACCGGGAAAAAGGAAAAGGGGAAAAAAAAGGGGGAGAGATTATATATACAGCTACATACTGCTACATCCAGCTTTGGGTGCTGCGTAACCTGCCAAACGGTTTGTATCATTAACAGCCCCTGCTCAGGGCCAAGCAATCTCATACTCATGTCCTGGCCTCACAGAAAAGCTGCCCTGAAAGGTGCAAATATAGGAGTGGAAACAAGAAAAGAAAATATATTAAAAAAATATAAGAATATAAAATATACTATAAAATATGCTATAAAATATAAAATGCCTTAATATCCAGAACGGAGGCTGCCTGGGAAAGCAGGAGCGACATTAGCTGCAGCTAGCACCAATTAGCATTGGTGAGCTGCAGCTGCAAGCACAGGGCCTGCGTGCTGACCAGAGTGAGCCCGGAGCCCGCGGCTGCGCCTCTCGCTTCGCTGCCTGCTGTCACCAAAGGGGAAGGACTGCTGCTGGTTTTACTTTTCCTTCTGGCGCATGAATAAAACACGGAGGTTTCCAACTGGGAAGAGCCGTGTCGTGTCCTCGCCCATGCTCCGTGTCCCGGCAGGGGGAAGGCGCCTCTGAAGAGCAGCTGTCGCAGGTGACGCCGGCCGGTGTCGCAGTGACGCGGCTCCTTGCGGCCGCGCTGCAGGTGTCGCACGAAGCCTCGTCTCTGCTGCCTTCCCGGCGCAGGTGGCAGGGAAGCAGCAGCGCTGCTGGTGACCTCGCCCCGCTCCCAAACCCCTCTGCCTGGCGGCTTAGCGGAGCAGTTGGGATGCTGATTAATCCTCTGCTGGTCTGCGGTCAGCTGCCTCCCTTCCTTGAGCAGAGAGATCYGCTTAGTGCAGGGAAGATTAAAACRCACTGATGGGCACCAGGATGCCTACGTGCTTGGGAGAGTCCTTGTTTTGGCTTGTCCTCTCCCTGGGATGCTGGGGAAGCTGCTACCTCTCCCTGCACTTGTGGTGTCGCAGAGCCTGGGGCCTGCTCCCTCACCTGGACCTGAAGGAAGATGCTGCCTCCTAGGCTGAGGCTTCCAGTAAAACACAGGGCAAAGCTCCACATTTCTGCCCCAGCAGAGAGGCCGCCCACAACAGGCGATTCTGCTCCGAAGGAAGGACTATTTTATTTAAGGCCCCGAGTGAGCGCAGGGAAAATGAGCTGCCTGTGGGAAGGCTGCTGCACAGGAGGTTTTCCAGCTGCGTGGAGAGGGAGAGGATCCYGCGGGAGCTCAGTGCTTGACAGGACGAGCCAGCTCTTGGATGCGAGCGGAGCACACGGCCTTCAAAGCAGCCTCCTTGACGGCGAACGCCTCGGGGTTGAACTGAGTCAGGTCCATGGAGAGCCTGGGGGAGTGAGGCTGCTGTGAGGTGCGGGCCGCGCACCGGGCGCAGCCCTGGGCCCCCTGCCTACCGCTTGCGGGGCACGGCCAGCTCCACGAGCCGTGGCGATGGCACCGCACACGCCGCCGCCTTGGGCACGGGCCACGCGGCGTCGCGCAGCGGCACGTAGCCGGGGAGCAGCCCCCGGGCCACCGCCAGCTCGAGGACACGAGGACTTGCCACCGCCTGCTGAGCGGCCGCAGTCACCTGCACGGGAGCGGGCAGGGTGGGCGCCCTAAGACCCTCTGCTCGCCTCCACCCGGCCRTGTGTCCGGCAGCCTCCGTGTCCCCATGGAGGCTCTCGGACGCCCACCGTGCCCCCTGTGCTGCCTTACGGGCCGAATGGCAGCTTCGGGGGCGCCCCGCTCATAGCAGCGCATCTCCGTCCTGGTGCGGGGCTCGGCGAGTCGCTGCAGCTGCCACGACGGGCTGGCCGAGGCTGCGGCGCTCGTCACCCGCGTCACCACCTGCATGGGCGCCAGGTGGCCATGGAGGCACGGGCGGGCTGCGGGTGCCCGAGCGCACCATGCAGTGCCATGCCGTGCTGCACCATGCCATGCTGCACTGCGCTGGGCCGTGCACCTCACCTCTCTGTCGGGCAGGAAGGCGGCGGGCAGCACCCTGGGCTGGGCGAGCCGCAGGATGCGTGGGGACGGGATGCAGCGCAGCGCGCCCGGCGCCACGGGCCACACCGGTGACCGCCGGGGCCTGTGGCGGGGCAGGGGGTCGCTGCGGCTCCTCGCTGCCCCGCAGCGACCGCCAGCCGCGCGCCTCCTCACCTCTGCCGCACGTGCGCGGCCGGCAGGCGCTTGGGCTCCGCCAGGCTCAGCAGCCGCTCCGAGGGCAGGCCCAGGCGCGCCAGCGGCGGCCGCTCCCAGATGCCCGACTCCCTGCCGCAGCTGTATAGGAAGAGGGGCCTGCGGCACAGCAGAGCTGCTGCAGAGGCTCCCAGTGCCACCGGGACCCCCGYGGTGGCCCAGGAGAGGCCTCGAGGGGCCCCGCTGGCTTCTCCTCTCCCGGCACGTCCCTGCGGAGCTGCCGCTCTCCCCGGCCCGGTGCTGCGGCACTGACCTGCGCTGGGGCTGGCCATCGAAATCCCGCTTGGGCTGCGCCAGCGCCACCGTTCTGGGGGACGGCCGGGCAGCGAGCACGGCGGGCGAGAGGCTCCACAGGGGCTCCTGGTTTCCCCACCTGAGCCTGGCGGGAGCAGAGTGCGGAACTTGCCCTCGGGAATGTGCACCAACGTGAATCCAGAGGATGTCTCTGGTTCTGCAGCCCCCAGGGCACCAGCAGATGGGTTCCCTCCATTGCGCCTCGAAGCCTCCGGGGGCGAGGGTTCCTGAGYGCCTTGTACACCCCTCACCAGCACCGTGGCCGCAACCCCGTCCACCCGGCCAGACCGTCCCCCCCTTCCTCACCCGGGATCATGGACRCAAAAGACTTTCTTGGGCTCTGCGAGTTCTCGGAGCCTCTGGAAACTGCAAAAAAATCAGAAGGACGTAGGTGCCCTTAAACCTGCAGTTAAACCAACAAGGTGCAAAGCAGGCCAGGCCGCGCTTGGAGCCTTCGAGGCCGCTCAGGGGCCACTGCCTCCATCCCTCAGTGTGTGTCGTTAAGGGAGCCCCCTCCCCAGCAACCCAGCCATTCAGATCCCGGCAAACTCACCGCCTCGACGCCGTCCGCGCCGTCTTCTGCGACGCTGAGACATGGACTCGCCATCCCGCCCCGGCCGCAGGGCCCCTTCGGGACATGGTGGGCGCAGGGGGCAGAGGCGCGTGCAGCTCTTAACACGACGCCCATTGTCACCACCCGTGTTCACCAGGAAGCACCGCGGAAACCACAACGCTCCCCTGCCGCTCGTGGAAGCGGCGAGAACCRGCCCGGCCGGGCCGAGCCCCCAGGGCTTGCCGGGGCGCGCGGCAGTGCCGGACCGGGCGGTCAGAGCGGCTCCTCGGCGCACCTGCGATGTCCGCTACCCAAGGAAGGCCAGGCCAGTGGCAAGCTGGAAGTTTCTGCTTTATTCATCCRTCCCCAAGGACAAGGCTACAAAACCCCCGCACAACAAGCACGGTGACAAAGCGCTCGCGTGCCCGTCCCGCCTGCACGCATGGCACCCTGTTGGAGCGTCGCACCTCAGCGCTAGGCCAGGACACCACACCGGGGCAACCCCCTGCAGAAACACTGCTTTCCCTGAGCTCAAACCTCACTTACTGCCTGGCAAGACACCCCAGCTTATCTGCTCAGTCTCCTGCCTGGCAGTCTCATTTCCCCTCTACAAATATTCTAAAAAAATAGACTGTGTTCCAAACATATTTGAAAACCACTACTTAAAATAGACTTTAAGTTACGCATCATTTTCACAGGAACTCCACAGTTACACAGAAGGAAAAAAAAAAATATATATATATATATACACATAAATATGTGCCCGTTTCAGCTGCCAGGTGGCAAACTGCCCGCGCGTGCCGCCGCTGGGCGCGCGGCGCCGGAGGAGGGAGCCGTCACTGCGTGTCCAGGAGCAGCTGCGCTATGAGCTCCCTGGCGTCCCGCAGGCCGGAGGAGAGCTCGCAGCCTCGCTCCGCCGCGTGGGTGCCGATGAGGAACACCTTCCTCCCGGCCCCGATGTCGCCGAGTGCCAGCGCCTCGTGGATGTCCGTGATGCCGTAGGCGCCCTCGAGGTCCTGCGACACAAGAACAAAACAGGCTCTAAACATCCCCCCACAAAACGTGCCCTGCAGTGAGCGGGTGCCCCATGCGGCTCCACGACCTCCCTTGCAAGGCTCCCTTGGTGCTCCCGCATCCGCTGGCCGCCCTCCAAGGAGAACCTCCGTACCTGCTTGTTGGCCAGGACCAYGAGGGGCAGCGAGGGCTCCTCCCGCAGCAGCTCGTGGAGCAGCCGCTTGGCCAGCGGCAGCCGCGCGTGATCCGCCGCGTCCACCACGTAGACGAGCAGCGGCACCTCGGCCATGTAGAGGCCCCAGTAGGGACGCAGAGACTCGCCGCCCCCCACTGCAAGAGAGGGCAGCAGCGCGTCCCCCATCACCGCGGCCGTGGGCTACGCGGCGCCGGGAACCCGCTCTGCCTGCCCCAGCGAGGCCCACGTGTGTGCTCAGAAACTTGGGGTTATTTTTGGTCCCTTAATCTTTGCACTCTAAGCCCTTCATCTGTGAGGTTTGTGGGAYCGGTTTCTTTATTGTTGCTTATTGCCCCGGAGCCAGAAAAGAAGGCAAGGGAGAAAGAAGCAGACAGGTGGACTGGGAGAAGGTCCCGGTACCRCCCTGCTCCACACAGGCACTTGCTGCCACGGCCGCCGCGGGACAAGGTGGGCGCCGGGATGAGGGGGAAGGGGGCTCTGCCCCGGGGCATCGCACTGCGGTGACACTGGGGGCTTCTCCCACCCCTCACACCCTGCATGGCCGCAGGTGCCGGCCGGGTTCCCCCGCAGGTGCCGCTCGGGCTCTGTAGCCACAGGTGCCGGCCGGTGCCCCCGCCGGTGCCGGCCCGTTCCCCCCGCCGCTGCCGCCCGGTTCCCCTGCTAGTGCCGCCCGGTGCTCTCCGCCGGCGCCGCCGCCGCCCCCGCTCGGCCCGCACTCACCCTCGAGCAGGCGGAGGCGGCCGTCCGCCGCGCACACGCCGTGCGCGCCCTCGGTGGCGGCGGT